TGGCGTTGGTGGCAGCATCAATGAGATATGAAGACGGCCGTAATGCTGGTGGCGCATTCGAGGGCGGCGGGGAGGGCGGTAGCAGCGACGGCGGTCGAGTCATGTGGCAGGGGTGGCAAGATGCAGCAGGGAGGCTTGAGTTAGCGACGCGGGGCGGTGGCGTGCCAGCAGGTAAGCGGCGGCGGCGGAGAGCAGGTGCGCGAAATAAAGGCCAATCTTGAGATATCCATTTTGCACCACCTTTGGATTTCTGGTACAAATTGACTTGTGGATCTTGAAGGCACGCGCAAGAGCGCACCAGGCAAGTTGACTCAACCTCGGATCTCGCTGCCGCTAAGCGTGGCGTCGATTATCAAACGAGCGGTGACAGTAGCGGTGGCAGCGGCGGCAGCGTCGACAGGAGCACCTACTGCAGTGTCAAATGTGAGCTGGGAGGCGGGAGGCAGATGCAATAGGAGCGGGAGAGTGAGATCGTCAGCCAGCAAGGCAGACCTTTACGGCGCGGCTGCGGGCGCGTTTGCAGTGACATGCGATCCATGTGGCAGCAAAGGCACGGCGGGAGTAGCGCGTATGCAGGCTGGTGAGCGAGGGTGGCGCGTCGCGAGTGGCGGTGCAGCCAGTCGGTGGCGGGTGCTGGCGACCGGCAGAGAGATGCAGACGGCGCGAGAGATGACCCTGCGGAGAGGCGAGGTGACGGGCGATCCGCGACGGTGGGAGAGGGCTGAGCATCGCCATGTCTCGCTCCGGCACCATCTTGCCGAAGCGCAGGCCCGGGAAGGCGGTGTTTTTGATGTAGCGGAGCCGCGCCGTGTCGTGCTTGTTGTACCGCCCTTGGCGGCCGGCGTAGCGCTGGTGCACACCGTGCAAGATCGACTGCAGCTCGAGCTGGTGGCTGACGATGTCCTCGCCGCTCTGCAGCGCCGGCGACAGGCACATGGCGCCAGCAGAGGAGATCTGCGAACAGGGCGAGTCGACGCTGGCAGGTCAAGCAGCGTCGACTCGCTACCAGCAACGAATGGGTACCCTCCCAAATGGCCCGTGCAACCGGACTGCAGTAACTGATTTTGGCCCATGCGCGTGCTCTTCCTCTTGCTCGCCGCGCGCTCGGGAGCCGGAGTGGCGGGGTCGGAGCTGCTGCAACGGCGCGAGTGGCCGCGAGGGGTGGTGCTGGGGCTCTCCAGAGAACGAGGCCACGGCGCGGCGCTCGCGGCGGCGCACGGGGCAGCTTTGAGCAGTGCAGCGCCTCAACAGCAGCTTCAAGCAGTGCAGCGCAACGCCAGCTACCTCTCCAGAGCTGCGCGGCGGCTGGCGGGCCTGTGGGAAAGGGCCGGGCCGCGTGCTCGGAACGCGCACTCGGCTCGCTTGCCGGTGGCCGAGTCAGTCTGGATGGCGAGAAGCGCCAAGGCCTTCCCTGCATTCTGGGCGCTGCCCAGCAGTGCGCAGTACTCTCGCTGCACCGACGGGCGGCCTCGATGCGGATTGCCGCGAGTGGCGTGGTGGCCTCCAGTGGTGCGGTCGTTGGTCAACACACGCGGCGCGCGCGCGCCGCGGGGCT